CATCTTCATCTTCATCCGCAAATACTATCGCCTCCAATTCCGGTTCGTCTAGAGATAAATTAGCGACTTCAAGCAGACCAACATCTTCAAATGTATCAAATGCATCTCCACTGATATCCCACATTTTAGTTGCTCCTTGTGAGTATTGTGCACCCCTCCTTGACAAGAGACGAAGATTGTTATGGACAAAAATCAAATCTTCCGCACGTTTTGGAGTTAGCTTATTTCGTTTAAGAGAGTGCAAAAAGGAATAAGTACTCCAATTTCGCTCACAACACGATGAAGAAGATGGTTGCCCAAATAATTTCAAGGCATAACTTTGAAGCATAGGTGTGCAAGCACCATAACTAACCCACCAAGTCTTTGGGTCCAAGCGGTAACGATCATGGATGGATTCAAAATCACCAAAGTCATCTTCCATAGTTGAGAATTTGGCATACTCCTTTTGCACCACATTATGCTCTTCATTTGACAAGTACCTCTTAAAGCATTTTATTCTTTCTGTTGAAATCTCTACATCGTTATGTGGAGCAAGGCGAGTGGGATCCTCATTAAGCAATTCCTCGCTATAGTACCTAAACAAGAGAAAAAATAAATTAAAGAAAGGACAATTCATTCAATAACTAAAAATATTAAATATTATGAAAATGTTAATAAATAATAATTGTATGAATAGATTTAAAAATTACCTTAGATTTAGAGAGTGAGACAAGCAATGAAGTGGAGTGTTATTTTTGTTCCAACGATCTACAAGTATCTGATGAACAACATTGTAGAATGATGATTCCTCTTCTTGAACTTTTTTCTCATGCCTATAGATTATTCTTCTCACTTTCTCAATTATTGTATCCCACATGTCGTAAACCAAGTGAAGGCAAGGTTTATCCGTATCACAAAATCTAAGCACGTCATAAATGGGAGAAGTGAAGGAAAGAACATAACTTATAGAGTCCCACCAAAGATCATCAAGCACTTTCGATTTTACAAAACTTGCCTTCGTCATGTCATCTTCTCGATAAAGTGACCATTTTTCACTAATAACCAATTCTTAAAGACCACGTTGGATAAGTTTAAATCTTTTTAACATGACAATAATAGAAGCAAATCGTGTCTCCACTACGGAAAGCAACTTCAAAGGCACAAATTCATTAAACATTGCTAGTCTCATGGAATGGTTCATGATAAAAAATTTTATAATCATTACATCATCATGAAGATTAGTAATCCAATTACATTCCTCATATGTGATCAAATTGTTTTTAACATTCTTTGCGGCACAAATGTTCTTCAAAGCAAGATTTAGTGTGTGTACTACACATGATGATCAAAAAATATGAGGATACTCCAATTCAATTATTTGCCCGACACCTTTACAATTTGGAGCATTATCGGTTATTACTTGAACCACCTTTTCATGACAAATTTCATTTATAACCTTCTTCATCAAGTTAGCAATAAAATATTTATCTTTTGTTTCACCGGAACAATCAACTGCTTTTAAAAACATTGGTCACTCTCGTTCACCGCCATAAAATTAATTAGTGGCATTCTTTGTGGATCACTCCATCCATCACTTACAATGCTAACTCCTTTTTCCGCCCATGTGCCTTTAATTGGATTTAATAACCTTTCCACATTTTTTCTCTCTTTTTGAAGAAAAGTAGTTTTCAACTTGTTATAACTGGGAGGCAAATACCCCGAAATTCGACTATTAGAAGCAAGAGTATAAGAACTAATGTAATAAGGATTTCTTGCAAGATTAAAAGGCAAACCACGTGAATAAAACATTCTAGCAATTTCGGAATCCAATTGGTCACGTGTTATCATATTAAAAGCATTTTCTATTGCACTATTCTTTCTTTTCCTTTCCTCCAAAACATAACAATCCTTAGAACCAATATTATCCGACGACAATGACACTCTTTTCCCCACCTTAGTTTGCATTCTCAGCTTGGCTTCATCTTCTATTTTTTGCATTTCATATATATCTTTCATGGTTACTTTTCCACAAGCTCCAATTCCATATCCTTGTAATTTTAACAAATGTGCCATCACTCTTGTGTATGAACTTGTCTTAGTTGCATTACAAAAATTGCATTGCCAAAGAATGTTACCAGCCTTTTCATTAAATTTATCAAGTTTTGTAACATATTTCCAAAGAGATTTAGACACATCATCATCCGTAGCATTACCATTCATAACTTCAAAAGAAAAATAATTTCAAATACTTAAATAAGATAGGAGTGATGTTACCCGAAACTTGAAAAAAATATCTTGTTCTTGATTTTGCAAAGATGAAATCAGTTTCTGAATTTTTTTGCCAATTTTCAGCCATTAACAATGAGGAAGAAGTGTGAGATACTTATACAAGTTTGATTGTTTGTTTAAGGGTAAAATTGTACAAATTATTTCAAATAAAATATTATATATTATTTTATTAATAAAATACAGCTACAAAACGTATACAACAAGATAAATTTATAACTTTACAGTGGTGGGCCCCACTTTTGAAATTTTTACTTCTAAAATGATGAATTTTCATTTCATCCATCTCTTCCTGTACAGTCCTTCTTTCCTAAATTGTTTTCTTTCCTTTCCCCTAAACGCACCTTTCCCCAGACGCTGTTAGAGTCTCTTCCTCCTCTGTCGGAGTTTCTTCCTCTTCTATGTCTCTTCTTCTTCTTTGTTCTCTCTTTTTCTTCTTCCTTTCCACATATCAGAAGTTGTCTTCTCTTTTTCCTTCTTTTCTCTCTCTTTTTTCTGCCTTTTCAGTTCTGCCGGCTACCCATCCAAGCCTCCAACATGCGTCGGCAACGTGTCGGAGGCGTATCGATGTCCGATACGTATCGGACACCGATACGTTGTCGCCGGCTACGTGTCGGTGCAATTTATCGACACCACATTGTTCGGCTCAACCTGGAAACCAACCAATACACGTTTGGAGTGCCCAAGTTATTGAGTTGGATTTTGTTGGTTAGGTGGTGATATGGTGCCCATTTATGGAGGCCCAATTACTTAAGTAAAAGCCCAATATTTGTACCTAACTTAATGAATGTATATCTATTACCTCCCTAGTGTGTGTATGCATTGGAGAGAGAAGTGAAGTGGGCAATCGGTTTCGGGGTGATTTCTTGAGAAATTCAACCATTGTTACTTCATCCTTTCTTCTATATTGTAGTCACCGCCACATTTAGCATCCTTTGTAACGTAAAGGGAAATTGGAGTGGGTGAGATAGGCATCCAAAGAGTGCAAGTTGTGGTCGAACAAACCTCGGGTGGTGTTCGTTTGATGATTTTTCTGAACTAGGATTCAAGATCTCTCAAAGCTTCCATGGCTCCAAGAAAGTGATTTTTTGGGCTTAGTTTACCAATCTCGACCTAATAAAAAACCTCCAATCGATGGCTTAACCCACCACTATCTATTCACTTAGGCCGCTCTAGTTTGTACCCACAAAGGACACAAGAAGGGAGTGTTATTGTAGCTACAAACGCAAGAAAGAAAAAAGGAGAAAAAACCGGTTGAAGCACATAAAAAAGGAGAGCAGCAGTATTTCACCAAAGGCAGAGAGGACAATAACGTGCTCATAGTGAAGGAGAAAGGATGCAGCATATATAGGCTTAGGTTAATTACATTAGTGGATCAAGAGCAATACAAACATTGTCCAACCTTTATAAGCCACCAGGAAGTGAATGGGACGGGCCATGAGCATCTCTAATTAAATTAGGTTGCTTCCAATAATCCAAGTGGTTTTCGGGTCGTGCCATTTCTTTGATGTGTTGATAATTAATTCAGTCATTTGATCAATGCCGGCATAAAATTTCCAACGAGTAAATAGTTGTGGGTTGTTGAGCTTGTCAGCAGTGTGTGTTGATTTGGGATGAGATGCAAACTGAGCCTAGAGTGTGTTGATTTGGGATGAGATGCAAACTAAGCCTAGAAAACATCTTGGCGTGGCCATCTTCCACGACATTAGAGGTGTCAATCTAGGTGGTCCGGGCCGGGTCGGCCCGTCAACATATGAATCCGATAACGGCCAAGTGAAAAAAAAAGCCTATCCGCTACTGGCTCCGGACCAATTTCGAGTCGGCCCACAAATTTTGGAATACAACCGAGGCCCGCCCGTTGACCCATCCGGGTCGAGACCATGCGGGTCACCGAGTCACGCGGGTCGTAGTTTGTTTCAATTTGACCTCGTATTATTGTATAAATAAAATTATAAAAATATAGAATTTTTTATATTTATAGCAAAAAATATTTTTTTTATTAAATGTAAACTAAGAATTGAACAAAATAATAAATTCATATTTATACCAAGAAATGTTTACATAAAATTCAAATTTAATGTTACATGAATTATTTATAACTTTGTAAAGTTAAATTTAAGTTAAAACAAATAATAATTAAATGCATTTCTAATTACTATTATCAAATATTTATAGTATAAGTATATCCCAACTAGGTGACACATAGTTTTATTATAATTTATAGTTTAAGTACATTCCAACTAGGTTGGCACCTACTTAAATCTTAACTATAATTTACTTGTTCAAAAATTATATATTTTAATATTTGTATATCCCCATTTCAATTATTTACGTTTATATATTTGTTAAAAAATTATATATTTCAAATTAAATTTTTTTTTTCACAGGCCAGCGGGTTAACTGTGGTTCGTGAAGGTGCAACCCGCGAAACCCGTGGGTCACACCCTCTTGACCCGTGAACAGTCTGCTCGGGTCACGGGTCGGCCCGCGGTCCCGGGTCAATTCGGGCCGATTTTCACCGATCGGTCGGCCCGTCCGTCTTGACACCTCAACACAACATTGACCACCTCTGCTCTTGTCAATGTCAGAATTTAGTCAAGAAAATCTAGTCAACATTAGTCTCTAACTAAACAAACCAACCGTGACAGTATTCTCATAGAAAGCAACATAATGAAAAGAACAGCACATAATACTTTCTAAGCTGTAAACAAAACTCACCTCTGAGCAACTTCTTTTCAGTAAGTGTACCTAATCTTCTTCTCAAAGCACCTCTCTTTCCGCTTCTCAAGGAACCTAACCAGAGATGCAATTCTACTAGAAACAGTAGGACTCAAACCATCATCTACAGCCTGCAGTCCATTTCACATGGGAACATTAACAATTACCTTAAAACATTTTTAACATTAAAATTTATATTAAAAACCATACACCAATATATAGCCAATACCTTGTTATTCTGTCATAACGGAAATTCTGAGCTGGGTATACTACTAGACATTTCCAACAGTAATAACACTGCTTGCGCCTATAAAATGTTTATATATACAAACGACCTATATCACCATCAACATAGAAACAGCATGAAACTGTCAATCAATTAATCAATCTATTTATCCATTTATTAACTCATTCTGCCACTAGTAAATCAATCATCACCAGTAAAACAAACAAACAACACATAAAAATAGCCAAAAGCATGAAATTCCATATAACCATCCAAATGCAACAGTCAGTCAGTCAATCAATCTATTTATCCATTTATTCTCTCGTTCAGCTCTATTAAATGAACTCATTCACTCATTCAGCCACTATAAAATCAATCACCACCAGTAAAATAAACAAACAATGAACGAAAACAGCCAAAAGCATGAAATTCCATAAAACAATCCAAGTCAATCTATTTATCCATTTATTCACTCGTTCAGATCTATTAAATCAATCTTCTTCAGTAAAATAAACAAACACATAAAATAGCACAAAAGCATTAAATTCAATAAAACAATCTATTAATTCCAGTACTCAAACGCTGAAAATAATTACTAAATCATAGAAAAAGTTAAACCTTTTCAGGAGTGACGGCAGGAAAAACATGAACTTCCCCTTCAAAGGAGACGGTGAGCTCGCTAGTCCTTGATGCGGTGAGCTCACTAGCCATTGGTGCCAACATTTCCTCACTACTACTCATCTTCTCCTCATCGCCGCCGCTGATACCACCGGCTTGAAATCCTCCTCTGTTATCATGCACTTGTACTGGCATGATCATACAGTCCTCCCCGTACGACCTCGTTTTCATCGCGTCCATTTATTTAAATATACACATAAGCATGCATGCATGTGTGTATATATATATATACCGTATGCATGTGTGTGCTAGAAAAACAGAAGAGAAATTGGAACCCTAACGCTAAGGGAACGGTGTAGGAAATTGTGAAGACATTGATTATGGTGAATTAAAAATTGATTACATTTACTGCTAATTGAGGGGACATATGAATGTAATGTAATTAGTGAGATACCTAATACAACCCTATCCAATCAATATCCAGTTATAAGAAATCTATAAGATTACAACAAGAATTGGCACAAGTTATAGCCTATAGCCATGCAAATGTTTAGCCCATCTTCTAGCCATGAAAGGATCATGGTAATCCCAACTCTCAACACTGCTGGACCTTCCACATATGGGAATGGCATCTGCACCGTCGTTTCTATCTCCTTTGTCTGTTATGCCAACAACAGTTTCACCGGTCCTCACGTGTTCTTCATCTTCACTGTCGACATAGCTAAACTCCAATCGAACATGTCCCGACTCGCCTAAATATAATGGAATCTTCCTCTCCTCGCCACCTCTGAGTTCTCCGATCCTGACGACCCTAGCGCCTTCCCCAATTCTCAGCTGGATGTCTCTGATCGCACCTCCGAGAGTTCTTGCAAGGAATTCTTCAAATGCATTCATGATAAACCCATTTGAAGTGCCGTATCCAAACCCTACATGGAATCGGTGGATTTTAACCGGAACTTCCATGTCAAACCGATGATAGGATCTTGATGGATTGTCGGACAAATGCAGGATACATGACTCCGGGTTCTTGTGGACACGATCACCAAGTATCTTTACTCCTTTCTTTAGCCCTTCCATTGGATCCGCGTGTCCCATATAGAATAACCGATCAATGACTTGTAATGCTGTTCGCTTTCCATATGAAGTCATGCGCCTGAGAGGGAAAATGCGTGCTGCAGCAGATGAGTAGGTAACAATGGCCAACCTATCCATGGGACGTAGTGAGGATACCACAAGTGCCATGGATTGCTTCATGAGCCTCAAGTGTGGCCCATTCGGGCTTGCAACTAAGACCAAATCAGTTGCGGGTTGATGTGCTAACTTTACACAAAGATAAGCCCTGTTATTTGTGGAGCAGAGAAAGGAATTTCCACCGGTTGTGGGAAAATGTTGTACAGCATGTGGTGATTCTGCCATTAGAGAAGAACTAGAAAAATGTTGTGATGGAACTAGAGAGAGATTGAGACGGGGTTGATCAGTCGTGTGGTCAGGCTCGATCGGATCATCATCATCATACCGAGCAGATCTTAGAAAAGATCGCCTGTGAACCCGAAAATTAGCAATTGAATCATCCAGGATCCTTAGAATAGGATCAGTCTTGTTGTAATGGAGGGAACATCGAGTATTTAGGTTGCGAGGTAGCTGAGTCCAATGGGCACGGCAAATTGGGCAAGTTACACTGCCGTGGTTAACGTTTGACGAGATGCATGCAAAATGGAATGCGTGAGAACACTGTGCTGTGAATATTGCCTGGCCTGGACTGCTTCCGGAGCTGTAATTTAGAGGATCAAGACATATTGCGCACAAATTCTGCCAGAAGTGAAGGAAAAAGCATAAGGTCTCTAAAATTTAAATGCATGATACATAGAAGTATGTTTCGCAATGCAACTAGAAGAAACTATTGTGAGGAAAAGGGAAAACAGAAAAGAAAAGCATGAAAATATTATAAGAGGCAAGAACTCATGTACATACTAGAAAATTTGTGGGGACTAAATTATCACATTGATTCACAGGACTATTTTTCAGCTTAATTAATGTTCTCAAGCAACTTATTCATCCCTCCATTTATCCAATGTATGTCACATTCCCTTCTATAAGCAATTTCATAGATTCATGTTGCTATACAAATATTATGTAACTTTGTGAAATAAAGTTTCATTTCAATTATAAGACTTCCAAAATTTCAACCTCTTTGATTTTGTTGAACAAACACAGTATAAGATGGGGTGTAAATTAAGATTTCAGGATGAGAATTTGACAAATTCCACAATTTATTCAACCTTTTAAATTACTTTGAAAATTTAAAACTCAGATGAGGACATTTATAGTAAATTATGAGGCATTAAATAGAGAAGTAAATAGATTCACTTTTTAAAAATACTTCAAATGTATCCAGCAATTAGAGATGAATTTAACGCATTCTGATAAAGGAAAAATTACTAATGTTGCCACAAATAAGATACCTTATTGGAAGAAGAATGGCCAGTGCTTGAATCAACTTGCCCAATTTCTGTAGAGACTTTATTGCAAGAAAAATCCATCTTGGGATTTGCAGAAGAAGAAATACTACGCGAATCGCAAGAACCCTGCCAAATAAATTTCAGAACAAAATCATAATTTATCTCAAAAGTTAAAACTTTGTTAATCAGTTCAAGAAAATGTTAATTAAAGACCAGAACGAGAAGAAATTTTGGGTATTTTAGTCAACAAAAATGGTGCAAAGTTAGTACAAAATTTTTGGAGAGAGAGAGAGAATTACTGTAGCAAGAACCTGGGTTTGTTGTCTATGGCAAAAAGAGCCACAAGTCTGTACAAAGATTCTCCTGGCCGCTCTCTTTAACTGAGATGATGCTCCACCACCACCTCCGCCTCCGCCGCCCATCTCCACCTCCCACACGACGCCCTTGAATTTTTTTATGAACCAAAATTCTCCCTCAAATGGCAATGTATTGGAGGTACAGGAGGAGACAAAAAGCTTTCAGCTTATCTCTCTCTATCCATTTTCTTTAGTTTGAGTGTGCTCTTCTCTGTACCCGCGTGAATGGCTTCTGTCTTATGATTGAGACTGAGGGGTCTATTCCCCCATTTATTTCTGTATCCCACTGTTGTTCTCCTACTCTAATATAAAAATATAACAAATTCCAGGCATTAATTTTACTTTCTTAAAGGGGTTAGTTTTACTTGGTCCGTAAATTTTAATTTGTTTAAGAATCATCACTGAACTTTTCATAACATTTCATTTAGATCAATGATTCCATTTGGTATTTTTGTGTGTTAAAGAAGTAATCAAACCTTTAGAATTTTCGATTGAGTAATACTATTTATCATCATGATGAAGAAATATCGTTGATATGAAAACTCATTATTTTACATCAATCTCCCCCCTCCTTTCTATCATAAAATTTGAACCGTCAAATTCCATTATTCCACATAAACGTCACATTAGTGATATTTCATCATCATAATGATAAAAAATATTTTTCTTTTCGATTAAATATTATGGCTTGATACATAGATATGTAGAATCTTTAGTTAAAAAATGGATGCCAAACTAAATTTGTAGTTTGAACGAAACAATTTATAAAGTTTAAAGATAACTCCGAAGTAAACTAAATTTCAGTCGTCAAGGTAACGCTAATTACAAAATTTGAAAGTCATTATTATAATGAAGTGTTCATGTACCGAGTTATCAAAATGTTAGGATTTTTTATTAGATATTATGTTTTGTCATACAGACACGTAGAATCAAATTGACGACATGGTGGTTTGAGCAAAACATTTGAAGTTTAGTAATGAGTTTGAAACAAATGAAAGTTTAATTGCCAAGATGACATTAAATGCAAAATTCAATGACCATTGGTGAAATTAATTCATTTCTTATCTTAATTGTTCCAAGTATTTTACCATTTACTAGGGAAGTAGGAATACTTTATTAGACTTTTACTTTTTCTTTTAATTCTACTCTTTCAATTCTTTTCTTTTTTCTTCTTTTATCATTTTAGCTTTTTCACTTCGTCTTTTTGAATTCCCGGGGAAAACGTGTTGTGGGATTTTATCAATATACCTTTGTTGTTCAAAGAAATAGTATATACCAGTGTTGATCTCAGATAAAATTAATTTATTTAGAGCCTACACAATGCGATCGTAATTTGTGTCTAATATTTTCACAATAAAAGAAAAATCACTTTTTATTGTACATTATAAAACACATAAAGACAACTATCCATATGAAATACCCATAATTTAATTTCAGTGAGTATTTAATTTTTATATCAGTGATTTAATTCTTAGCATTTATTTAGGGTCGAGTACATTTGAAAGGGCAAAGACAAAAAATGAACAATCTAGAAAAAATAACCGTCTGTTTACGGGTAATTATTTGAAGTAAAACATGATTTTCTTGAAGAATGTGTGATCCCGTCTGTTTACGGGTAATTATTTGAAGTAAAACATGATTTTCTTGAAGAGTGTGTGATTAAACGTAGGAAAAAGTTGATGAATCCATGATAAAATTACTTTCTGAAGAGAATATGCAATTTAAACGAATTTGAGAGAAATAATTTTCAAATAAGTTGTGCCAAGCGAATAAAGAAAAAGGACCGTTAGGATTTGAATTTAAACTTTTGGTTTTGGTATCAATTATAATGATGGGGCTTGTGGCCGCCCATGATGGCTACCACTTTTAAAGTCAAACAAAGCTTATTGAACACTAAAAGTGGTTGCCATGGTCCGGGTCGAGGGTGGCTCAGCCGAGGCCACCAATAGGATCTGGATGTATGCAGTTCTAACTCGATTCTTCAGTACACAAGACCATTTCAAACGAGACAATATTTAAGACATGTAAACATAGAACTCGAGGGGCGGGGTCGAGTCGAGGCCTTGAGGGTAGGGGAGGGGAGGGGTGGGGACAAAATGCTTTATTACTTCCACAAATTGCTTTCTATTTGGGTCACACCATGAGTCACGAGAGAAATTCAACTGCATGTGGGCCCTTTCATAGTTATTTGAAAAAATGGTAATCATATTAAATGCAATTAAGTATATATTATGATTGATTAAACCTTGACTAAGGACAGCCAAAAATAACGTGATCCATAAATAATTATAGATTCGTAAATTGTAAGTTAGTATGAAAATTAATGGGACCAACGTGCTTTGAATTTAGAATTATAGACGGCCAATTAGGTATATCCAATTTTTCATGGACCCATGACTATGTTTGCATCCCTAAT